TGTATATATTTGCTTCTTGCTTATCAGTTTTCTTTACTACACTTGCACCGTTGGTTGAGTCTCACAAAATCTCTTCCATTTTTAATTATATTATTCTTCTTATTTTTTATTATTATTTTTATTATTTAAATATAATTTTTTCCTCTTTTTTACTGCTTCTGAAACTTAATCCTTATATGTTAGTATTAACCATCAAGGAAATCATCTTTCGTCAAGTGTTACCTCCTGAACGCGTTTTAGAGTTTTCAACTGTCTTGTATTTTTAAAACATAACTGAATCATATCAATTGACTGCACTTCAAGTTATATTGAATATCAACTTTGATTTTCCCAGATTTTTTTACAATACTTCTTAAATACAATTTTTATGGCTATGACGTTTTTCCATAAAGACAATGCACGGGTGTAATTAATTAATGCGTAATTAATTATATTTAATGAATTTAACGAATACTTGCTTTCATCTACAATATTTTTCAGATTTAACAGCAACCCAGCAACCAAGAAGGAAGCAAGTTGTCTTCAAGGATTAATCGTGAATACAATCGCTTATTTTGAAGCAATCCTATTACTCAAACAGATTGGAAGTGTTGAAAGGTCTTTGGACAAAATTTTTGAATTGATTGAAGACAAAATTTGGAAATAATAAAAGTCAAAAAATTAAAAGTATTTTTTTTTGTTAGCAGTTTTGCGTTTTCTGCTTTAACTTGATCAAATATTTCCATATCTTACACTTCATGATCTATCATCTCATTTTTTTTAATATCTATTCACTTTCTACACCACTTTTTATCGTTGCAACAGGGCTTAGAAACTTGCTCTAGTCCCAGAGGGAGTCACTATAGGCCCGATGGTCGCCATGCCATGTCCCAAAGCAATAATAATAATAATAACGTTCTTTAGTTAAATATGTACCCGCATGCATATTGAAAAATTTCCTTTTTTCAAAAAAATCGTTCTTTATTTCTGAATGTTGGCGACCCTAAATAATTACATAAAATAAAAATTTTATAAACTATTTTTGATAGGTTTTTATAGAGCACTTATATCATAATGAAAAAGGATTCAGCGGTTTAGGAAATAGATGTGCTTATGATATAAACAACCAATAGAAAAAAGTACTTTCAGTATTTTTTAGAATTTTCATTTCTTCGTGTAACTTCCCCATTTTTTTCTACCGAAAAAACGTTATCGGAGCTAGAATGAACGTTTGTTATAAAAAATTAGTCAAATTAGACTAATATCAAGTACTGTGCATTTATTTGGTGGATAAAAATTTATTGTATTAAGGGAAAATGCGCCAGTAACTTAAAAGAATCTGATAAGATGCAATTAAGAAATTGTATCTAAATTAATTAAGAAATACAATTTCTATAAAGCATATGTTCCTTGAAATAGTAATAGTATTTATAAATAATAATGGCATTTTAAATTGAGATGCTTTAACTTAACGAGTAATAATATGAGTACAATGAAATCGTTCATACATTTTAATTTCATCAACAATTATGCATACATTTTGGTCATAAACGGTAATTGCTGCAAACTTATATGAATTTGGGCATTAAATAACAAATTCAAGTTTAATAAACTAAAAATTTATGGCTACTGTGCAGCAAAAACTTTGTTTCAATTACGAATATTATGCATTTTTATTGTGCCTCGCCTACTAAAATGCAACACGTGCATCATTAAAATACATTTTATCAAGCGCACTGTACTACACCACATTCAGATATATTGTAGAAAACGTGTACTGAACTGGTGGAAAACTTGTGAAAAATTTTAAAAAATCAAATAGTTTAAAAACTCAGAAGTACTTAAATCCTCAACGGTAAAGCTGCCAGCAAACAATGCAACAAATTGCTAAGGAGCAACTTCGTCGTAATTGTCTCAAGCAAAATTTCACAAAGCACGTGGAGGCGCGATGCAGTCCACAATATGCCCCAACGAGACAGAAAAGCCGTTGCCATCGTTAACGTTGCTAGTTGAAGAGCAACAGCCATTGCCATCATCGTCATTCCCCTACAAAAACCCACAAACCTTCATATCCACATTTATGCATCTATGTATAATGGTACAGCATTAAAGCAGTGTCAACTTCAGTACTTAAATGAACAAAGGTGCATGGTGTCAGTGCCACCATTATGGATACTTTTGGTGCTATATGTGGAGCAAACAGCATATACTGATGTATATAGAGATGCAAATATATAGATATATACGTTTGACACTCATTGTGTGGGTTCGCAAATTTGTTGCTACATAGTTAGGTTTGCCTGACAAAACTTCGTTGGTTGGCAATGAGTTGCGCGCATGAGGGTTGGCTGCCTCGTTGTCTTGCAGTTCTGAAGTTGAAGTGGAAGTAAAAGTTCTGAAAAGGTTTATTACTTGACATCACAAAAGTAAAGGATTTTTAACGTTTTGTATTCGCCCACTAGCAACAATTAACGACATTCATGACATTCCCGACATAAACGGAAGTTTAGTCTCTGAATTCGCTTGAATTGTAAAACTCAAGCAATAATTCGCATAGAATTTTAATTGAATCAAAAGTTTTAGAGAAAATCTGTTAATTTGTTTTGAGCTAACGCCAACACATGCATTTATTGAGTTAGTATACTGCAAATTTTATCTGAACAGTTACAAAGACAATTTGAATTAAGTTAACTTAGAGCAGCGGAAAGTTATTTTTATTGACGCTCGATATTTGATTATAGACAAATCGACATCGTGCAAATATTTGTTATATTGAATATAGTTAAAACAGAACTATAGAGAATGAGATTTTGAATGATAAAAGAATTAAATGTGGTTCGGAAAAAAAAAAAATATATATATATAGACGTCATGATGGCATGCTATTAACAAAGTTTCATCAGCTTTTTTAGCATTTAATATTGTAAAACAAAAAATTTTAAAAATTAAAATGCGCTTAGAGTGACAGAATGATATCTATTATGAAGTAGACGTCATCAGTAGTACACTGTTTCCGGTGCTTAAATCGCAAGTTAGATAAGAGCGACTTATAAATATAGTTCACTAGTTAACTTCAATATAAACAATGAGTACAACTTGACACTGAAGTAAATATGACAACTTATTATAGTTAAGCTCTTCAATATACCTGAACGGCATAACTAACTAAATGATGTGATAGACACCTTATAGCTATAGTGGGCGATCTACGAGCTCTTGAAAGGCAGTACGCAAAGCTATGTTTGTCTTATCAATTCAAGTTATCTCAAAACTCCATGTGGCACATATGAATACTCACCTATATATTCGTTAAGTAATAAGCCAATAGTACTTACAGCGAGACTCATCTCCAGAACTTAAAATCAAAATTGTGCACAGATGTTTAAATCCTTTACGTAGAATCAACCGTCAATGAAACAATTTAAGTAGGTTCAAACACCGGCACTAGAGAAAAAAATTCAAGCAAGTGAAAAAACCTGTGGAGAAATTAAAAGACTGGCAAGAAATCATGAGAGTTGGAAAAAATCGTTATGACCCAAAGAAGAAATCATAAAGATTATGATTTATGCATCTACACCAAAAATGTCCTAATCATTTGGATATTAATGGAAAGCAGAAAAACCTTTGGAAAAAAAAACGCTGGCAGAAACATTGACAATTGATTTATAAAGATTAGATTTATGCATCTGCGCCAAAAAAATTCTAATCATTTGGATACTAATGGAAAATGCTATTCATAGTTGTTGGAAGCCCCTAACAATTCTAAGGGGCACCATTCAAATAATAGACAAAATAACTCTAAAAAAGCTAATTGTAATACTTACTAAAGGAGCAATGCAAATAGATGTCAATGTAAATGCAGTTTTGTGGTCAACAATAGGCTTTTAAACTCAGTCAAGGTTTATAAAAGAAATCTAGAAGTCTATACGTATCAAAAAGATTTACTTTAACATTACTTTATTTTACGTTCTTTTTTAATTTAAAATAGAATAATTTTTATAGAATAGTTAACTTTAAGTTCACTATCAAGTAGCAAGACCTTAATGAATAAGGTTAACATTCGTTTATACAACGTTGTAAATATATTCACTTTTAGGGATGGCAACAATACTATCGCGGTTAATATATTGTTAATATAGGTCAACAATAAGAATAAATTGGTAGGCTTTAAAAGAACATATTCGAAAAAAGAAGCTAAGAAACACCTAGAAACAAATAGAATTTATTTCACTCTAGCAGAGATAAACAATTCTCATTCTGCTAAAGAACCGGTGTTTCTATGTACTAAACATAGTCCTAAATGTTTAATGTAAACTTTATAAATAAATGATAGACTGTACTGACTGTGAAAAAAGAAAACGCAGATACTAAGCTTCTTATATTTTTTTCCCCGTAATAGACAAATGTTGTGTATTAGGGTATAAGATAATGGTAATATAAATTCAGTATAAAATTACATAAAATTTATTTTCCAATTTATTTAAACCCAATAATCCGATTCAACTGTAAACACTCCAACTTAAATCCGAGCAAACAAATAACAAAATTTTATACCTAAACTGTTTCCCCACTCAAACCATTACCAAAAATCTTTCGATTTTGTTAAAGTGCACTGCCAATCATGTTTAAATATTCCATTTGGTTAACACTCTTTGCTGCTACCTTTCGAAATTAATTAAAATTCTGACGTGTTTTTCTGTCAACCATTAAAACACAACTAATCCTTTGAGTTTGGTCCTCGTAGTATGCGACTAGCAACCGAGACGGTAACATATTTTCCCAAACGATAATTGATAAGTTAAATATTTTATTTTGTGAAGGTAAATGTGCATAGAAATCGATACAATTTCACTCGTAAATACCAAAATTTTCATAAAAGGTTAGTTTGGGTTTACACGTATGGTTAGAATGGGTAAGACGACGTGTGGTGGCAGGCAGCGTCTCTTGGACGGAACACTTTCTACATGTAAACCCAGTAATTAAAAGCTAACAAAGGCGTACATAAAAATAAATAAACTTACCACGTTTCACTTGAAGTTCATTATCACCAGCAACATTTTCATCATCTGCACTAACAGCAACAGCTACAGCTACAGCAACACCGACATCATTATCATCATTTTCATTGCTATCGTTGGCAGTATTAAGCGTATTAACTGTTGTTGTTGCTAATGCAAACGCTGACAGCATAGCCAGCGATTCACCATGACACTGATTCGGTAATAATTTCGTGGTGGTAGTGGATGCGATTTTGTAATTATTGCAGTTTTTGTTGTTATTTTTATTGCTAACTATTTGATTTTGTTTTTGCTGTTGCTGTTGCTTAGTTGCAGTTTCACTAATGCAAACAGTTGCATTCGGAGCAACTGGCAGCACATCTTCATATTGTAAAGCATCCAACTTGGAATTTGCTGATGGATTTTCATTGCATTCATCAATGTAGGGCTTATCAGCAATGCTAGTAACAGCAGCAATAATATCATCGTTACTGGCTGCAGCAGCAGGAGCAAGAGCAGTTTGTGTGGTATCAATATTGTTGTTATTATTGTTGTTGCTCTTGCCGGTATCATTAATAAAAGTTTCCATATTGTTATCATTATTTGGATTTGTATCGGTTTTACGAGTATTACTGGTAGTGTTGACGATGTTTATGTTGTCCGTTGCGGTTTTGGCTGCCACTGCATTTAATGAACTCGACACTAGTTCGGATTCATGTTGTAATTTTGCTAATAATGCCGCTTGTGTCAACGATACATCGTTAGAATTCACATTTCGATTTAAAATTTTGACTGCTGGCACTTCAGCAGTGCTAACTTGCATTACTGAGTTTTGTGAGTGTCGCTGTTGTTGTTGTTGTTGTTGCTGTTGCTGCTGTTGTAATAATTTTTGTTGGCCACGTTTTCTATTATAATATTCATAGTTGGATGTCGACTTTATGTTCGTTATTTGTATTTTGTTGCTTTCTGCATCATCAAAGTCCTGCATAATGTAGAGCTCTTCACTACCACCGTTGGCAGCAGTAGGATCACTCGCAGCAACATCTTCATCAGTTTCAGTTTCAGCTTCATCTACTTCATTTTCATCTTTGCCATATACAGTGGTATTATACTGTTGTTGTTGAATTTGTTGTATTTCTTCAAAGTCTTCATCGCTATCGCATAGCTTTTCAGCATTGCTGACATGGCTGTCAACAGCATGGATTACGTTATCCTCCACCATAAACTGCACCTTTTTACGCGTTTGCGGTAAAGGTATGTAAAATTGTGCTGTAGCCATTGGCGTTGTTACCACAATGGTGTTGCCGTCTTTACTGTTGCTGCGTTGTTGGTTAGGAGTTGCTGCTGCAGCATATGCATCCACATTGCTCGCTGTCGTTGCTACCAAATCTGCATGTGCTTCTGCAGTACCAGCATCATTACTGTCTGTTGTTTTCGATGCCGGACGCTTTAGTATAGATTTGATATTTTGGGTTGGAGTAACTGTCAGCACTGTAACGCTTTCATCCGCAGTATAAGTGGTTCTCATTACTGTGGCGTTTGTTGCCACATTTTTCGATTTTTCCACTTCACTGTCGGCGCTTTCATTAGATTCTTGTTTCTTGATACGTGGTGGTCGCTTCGGTTGCGATTCATTGGCTGCCTGCACTGGCAAAGCATTCGTTATGGTTTTGGTATTTGTTTTATAATTAACGGAATTATTTTCACTGTTCGGGCGTGCATCTTTCGTTGCCTTTGCAGCTTGAAGCTCTTCGCTAATAATGATGTCCTCATAGCTACGTCCGTTTTCGCTTTGCCTAATTAACGATTTTTTGGAGGTTTTATTATCGCCCAAACTAATGCGTTTACCCGCAATCGCTTGCACATTCGTGTAGTTAAGTTTGTTGCTGGCAGCATTTAAATTTGTTGCTGTTTTTGTTGTTGCCGTTGGCAACTGCTGTTCAGCTGCAACATTTGTTGTATGTGTTGCATTATCATTAGTTTTGTGTTCATTATGTCGCGTTGTTGTTGCACTTTTCGTCGTTTTTGCAGTTGTTGTTAATTTTGTTATTTCATGCACGTTTTTCTTGCGCGTATTGTTATTGGCGCCAGTGGCAAATGGTGGTTCATCCTCATTAAGAGCAGCATCTTCCACGTTAAAATCATCATTGGGTGGCATAAACTCATTTTGGGATATTCCTATAATCTTTTCTTTAGTAGGAGTCCCCTTTGTAGGAGTGGTTACAGGTGTGGATGAGGCACTTATGTTTGGAGAGTTTACTTTTTGATTGCTAGTTACAGTTTGAATGGATTTGATTGAGATCAAGTCATAAGGATTGACATTACAGCGTAGTATTGAGCGCCGCATGTGGCTACTTGTAGGAGATTCAGTAACTTGTAAGGAGGCATCAACGTCTTCTTCCAGCCAACAATCCGTTAAATCCTGTGTGCTTACTGGATCATGTTTAGTTTGTTTAACAGGATTTCGAGTGCGACTGCGGCCACGTGTAGGACTTGCACTTTTTCCGCGATTGCGCGATTTATCTTTAGAACTGCTGCTACCACCACTAGCGCCTGGTTCGGGCGAAAGCAAACGTGTGCGACGCATTAAGTCATATGGGTCTTTTTGTGGATCGAGTATAGTTGGACGGGCTTTCTTTGTAGTACTAACTACTCGCATTGTAGCTGCACCACTACCGCGAAATTTAACCGCTGGTACGACACCAGTACTACTTTGCAAGCGCACTGTGCCACCGATATTGGCAAGCGGCAAACGTGAACCTTTACATTTCTTGCAAATACTTGCTTTCTTCACATCACGCTTGGTGCCGTTTAGGTATTCCGGACAGGAACATATAACCACCGCTAAAGCTTCTGCAGTAGCTAGCGGGTGAGTGGCGAAGATTGCGGCTGCATGTGGATGCGGATAGTTTGGTGCCTGATGATACTGGTATGGACGCGCTGGTATGCCACGTACTGTACCATAAATCCATGGTTCGGCATACTTCATAGAACGTGATAGCGCACTAGGCAGATATTCATAAGCTACACCCCCCGCGCCATTACCGTTGTGATAGTCATTTAGCTGCTGCAATTGTAGTGTTGGTAAATGCATTGCTGCTAATGTTGTTTGATACTCTGCCTTATGGTTGCTATTGTTGTGTGCATTATTTGCGATGGCAGCTGCTGTAGATGCTGTTGTTGTTACCGGCAAGGCTGTTGTATATGGTTTTTCAGTTTTCGTAATTTTGAGCCGCTGACTCCAGGTTTTCTTTGATTTGTCGTACATCGGCGAAAGCTAAAAAAAAATTATTATTTAGAAATTTCATAGATAAAAAAAGTGAAGCAATAAACTATAAATGTAAATGTAAAGAAGTCTGTTGTGCTCTTGATGTTGAATTTGTTACATTTATGCCATAATAATTTCTCGTGTCGAAAGGTGCTGCACGCGAATTAACAATTTAGCATCATCAAGGTATTGCTAAGGTATCGACATCGCACCGTTGGCATTAAAAGAGAAAGGCTTAGAGATGGAAAATTGAAATTGTGCTGCTTTGAACCCGGGCAACCATCTTACCTTTTTCTTATTGCGTACATAATCTCAATTTATATTGTGATTTTTTGCTCATGCGCTGCATTGAAGGGCAAAATCTGAAAAGAAAAGAAAATTTTGTTAGAAAATACTGTTTGCCTTTATTTCTTTTAATTTAATTTAAAACTACTGTTTTTTTACACTTCCACAAGAAAGTAATTGAAGTGTACGCTTTCAAGGAAAGCAATAATAAAAATTGAAATTATTTTCGGTTCACGAGTTAGTAGAAGAGAATAACGGAAACTATTTGATTATAAAATTTCAACAACGTTTTATATTCATTTAATTTGAAAATATAGAAATTCATTTGATTATGCGTTCAGAATATATTTTAGGGTTAGATGTTAATAAAGAAAAAAAAACTAATACTAAAAATGTAAATAGCTACTATCACATTTTAGAAATAACCGTTCTGCTACAGTAGTTATCAGGAATGAATAGGAAGCTAAGAAATTAGTAGAATCGTTCACTTATATATTTAAATATAAATCAAAACACCAATTAGATTTGGTCTCCTACAAAATAATCATAAAACATTATCTGAATACTGATGAAAAGCGGATTAAAAGAGTTCCTTAACTGAAGATGTATAGTATAAGTATAGTTACTAAATGCAATGCTTTATACATAAATTTTTACTTAGTGGAACAAACTGGAATCCAACCTAACTATCATGAGTGAATCACTTGACGCGTGCTAAGGATCAGTCTGCTTGAGGTTTCGAAGTAGCCTAACTGTTATCAGATCCCCTTAGGCACCAGGTCATATCCAACAGTATATTTGGTATTACTATGTTCGACCAACTTAATTTCAATTGTACATGTAAAATATCAACAGAAAATAAGAAAGACACCTGTGACCACCGAAGCGTTGACTGGAGGTTTTCGAGTAGAGAGTTTGCTTCCGAGTAAATAAATTAGTACATTTCGTTTAGTATAAGTACCAAGTTTTAAGTTAAGACATGAGACTCAATTTGAATAATTTAAAAACAACAAAGCAAATATCATTTATATCGGTATTGCAATAATTTATATATGAGTAAGACTATCTTCCGAATGAACAGACTGAACTACCTTACTTCGGACTAAGATTAACAGATACCACTGGTAAAAATTAAATCCAAATAATGATTATGGGCGTTGTTATCAAATAGTTATATATATATATTTAAAATAATAGGTCTTTGTGAATTGCAATAACGAAAATGCTATCTAAGTGTGTTATATAGGACGAAATTATTTTTATTATTTATTTATTTTTTTTTTAATTTTATTTATTTATTTTTTTTTTATTTTATTTATTTATTTTTTTTTAATTTTATTTATTTAATTTTTTTTAATTTTATTTATTTATTTTTTTTTAATTTTAAAGTAGCACCTGGCTCGGACGCTACTTAGTTCTACCTTAATAAATGAACTAACTTCATTTATTTATTTTAATACCTTTAATATATAAAGGTAGTTTATAGAAATAAATACATTGTTATCACATTAATCTACTGTAAAGAGTGGAAACGATGTTTTCTTTTTATCTATTTTTTCCAATTATTTTTTTTGTTTTAGGAATTGAAAAAAATCAAAATATAATATTAAAAGTCATTCTAATTACATATTCAAAACAATATTGAAGCATTTTGAATGTCACTAAAATTTTATCAAGATATTTTAACAGTAATTTTGAAAATTTGGGACCTTTCTCTAGTGAATCGAAGAAACAACTTTCAACTCATAAAAAACTATGAAAAAGTTTAAATTATATCTCCAAGGAAATCATGTTTTTTGTAAGTATGTTTGCAATAAATAAATGCCAAAATGAGAAAAAAGCAACAAAAACATGAATAAACTAACAGAACGAAAGCTCAGTGCACTGACATGATAACAGCAACAATTTATTATAACTAAAAATGTTAGCCTAAGGTACCTTACGGGTGTAGGTCAGAAAAAAATTCGAAAAAGGAAATTTGACATGTTGTACCATTTTTCAACACCTTAACATATAATAAACGTAACCACAAATATAACCTATATTACCAACAAAAGCTACAACAACTACTACAGTTCTACAACAGAGTTCCCGAAAATGCTGGCTAAGGAAAAATAAGATTTATCAGGCGTGGTCGCTGTAGAAATTGTCAACATTTATCAACATTTTTCAAAAGTGTTATAAAGTTCAAGAAATGTACAACACAACCAACATCAGCAGCTGCATCAACAACAAAATCACTTACAACATGACTACCTCCGAAAAAACAGCAACAACAATAATAATTCAAAAATACTGTTGCCGTACAACAGCAACAAATATAACAACAACAAAACAAGAGAAAACAGCAATAATGTAAACACTTAAAAAACGCTGCGTATCCTGCATTTTGATTAATATCCGCACAGCAGCAACAACCGCAGAACCACAATAGCGCCCACTAGCGGACAACACCTAAAATTAAGTACGAAAAGCATTTAGGAAATGTATGTGAAATAAATAAAAAAGAAATATACTAAAATATAACTAAATAGAATGAACGGAACGTGGTACACCACTTCACAATTTTTCCTCAGTGACTCAGAGAAATTCTTCAAGCAGCAAACAACCGTACAAAGAACCACAGAATGGAGAAGAGCAAAAGAAAAATTCTAAACAAATTTTTTAGAAAGTAATTCTAGATTGGGTTAAAGGCCACTGAATCTCTAGCCAAAATACTTCAACGTTAAATGACAGCACCTACCAACGCACACAAAGGAGTTGTTGAGGATATGCCGGTAACTTGCAGTAAAATAAAAAATGAAGTAATATTTTATATTTCCGCACTAAAAACTTTCATTCTTAAGGTGTGGAGGTTAAGGACCTTTATTTTGTTAAGAGTTGAATTGACAAAAGATTATTCATTTAGTAGCACTGAATTATGAAGAGTTTTCTAAGGAAGCGAAATTGAAGGATATATTAATTATGAAATTTAGTGGACAGTATATGCTAGAAAAGAGGGACAAGTCCCAAGGAGCGAATGCACAACGACGTGCCAAGTCGTATTTAACCTAGAAAATGCTAGTCAATGCAATTCTTGCCGTACTTAATACAATTTATAACATAGTATAGCCTCAATGTAGCACCCCAGAAAAATTAACTAGTGCTTGCTGGGTTATGCAGTAATAGTCCCTACAGCAAGTTTTCAGTACTTTAAGTTTAGGTTGAGCACAGCATTTGGCTGATTTGGTAAAACCAACCACCAATAATAAACGTAAAAAGGTATCTGGACAGGCTACAACAACAACGTAAAGAAGTTCCGGAAATGGATCCAGAAAACTAACGAACTCCGCATATGAAATAAGGATTCGATTTATGAATATGTACCTGAAATGCACGAACCATTTATAGGAAAAGTGATACTATCCAATTAACAAAACCTCTCGATAATTATAAAGCTGACGTCACTCTCAAAGCACAAAATGTATTCTATACAGCCGCGATGCAAATAGGTGTACAATTTAGATAAGGGTTTGTGATTAGCAAGAGTTTAGCGGTTTACACTAGTTAGTGAAAGCTGGCTAATAAGGATTTGTGGTACTTCTATTTTACCACTTTTTTATTAATTAAGACACTTCTACATATATGTTGCAAATGTTTATTGTTTTGCAATTATTTATTGTTTTACAAGTAATTATGTGTGTTTACATCACACCAGATGGCGTTGCGCTGGTTAATGCGTTCGCCATACCACTTTAATTTGCACGCACAGATAAAGACATAACAAAAAGACTTCTCCTAAGGTACTTTCTAAACGAGAATCGAAAGAAATCTATGACCCGCACATGATGTTCAAATTTTTTTTGATCAAGGATTTTAACGTTTAGGTAAACAAAAATAGTTCTTATTAGTCTAATGGTCAACCATTTAGACTCCATTTATCTAACTCAAAACATGATTTAAGATTGACTGATTTCGTTAAGACGCGAAACATCGTAGCATGATTTTCGCATCAATTACAAGGTCTACACATCGAATCGTACCCAAAGGCTGTTGGAGGATATTAGAAGACGGTCTTAACCTGAATATAGTTTGAATAGAAGTTTCAAAAAAACTTTAAAATTTTCGTAAAAATAATTTTCAATAAGAATGAAACATATGGCGGTGCGATGCAATAGCTAAACTCAAATGTGTTTGTGCTTATATAAATTTATAAGTTAAGAATATAAAAATTAACCAATAACTTTTTGATTATTTGCAATGTGACCGAAATTTTGTCGTTATTTTTATTTAGTTTCTTTTTGTGTTGTTCGGCATAACTAAACTTAGGACTTAGCAGTTTCTGATGGAATGTATACTTCTTTCCAAACTGTTTGAAAAAGTTTCTTCCCGAACAGTTTTGGGGCACTTGTGGTATTGGCAAACACTTCAAACTATTGAACGTGTTTGTACTATCAAAATCAAATACAAGGAATTCAAATAGAATAGGACGTATAATATAAAAAATCTTTTATTTAAGAGAAGTATTTAATTAATTTTATTTATAATAAATGTGTTGTAATAAATAATTATAGCATAAATTTTTGGTACATTGCAAAATTTAGTACATTAAGTGCAGGAAATCATTTTTAAGACCTAAATTATATGAGATACAGTTCCTAAATAATGCTCAGCATAGTCTGCTAGATAATATAAGAATCAACGGGGTACTAGCTCCCACTTGAGCAGAGCACTGCGACCATGATTGATCTTTTGTGCTACAACAGACCCTAACCGAGCAGAAGACATTCTACCTCCCGAATGAAGGCTAAAATGTCTGCCGTTGAGGACCTCCTAATGTCGGAGGGTGAGAGTAGTTCCCGACCTAGTGACCTTCTTCTGGCCCAGATCAAAGCTGGGCAATCACATAGAATGTGGCTGGATGTCTCCTCTACTTCTAAGCAGAGTCTACACTCTATATCTTCGGACAGACCCATTTTGTTGAGGTGGTAACGTAGCCCGGGTGACCCGTTAGATATCCCACAAGCAATCTTAACTTTGTTCTGCTGAAGAAGGATACTTTATTACAACTATAGGGGTAAACCAGCTCTTTAGCCTG